TTTATGTCCTCTTCTCTTCCCAAGTATCTTCTTCAATATATTGGTTCCTCCAAAGGACCTTGACTGGTGCGTCCTCTTTTTTTCTCAACTTGCAAACATGGCGATCTAGAATTTGCACTATGAATATCCTCATTAGGCAAGTTATCGTTGATTCCAATATCTTTAGTTGGAAATATCAATGCAGGATCACCCATGCACTTCTTTAACATGAAGACATGATATGTTGGATGAACCGTTGCTTACTCGTGTTGTAGCTCCAACTCATAAGCTACTTTGACAATCTTCTTGGAAATTCTATAAGAACCAACATACCGAGGGATAAGCTTCCCCTTCTTACAAAAACTCATAACACCCCTTAGGGGTAAAACTTTCAAGTAAATCCAATAATATATATCTCAACCTGTAACACCCTTCTACCAACATAAGTGTATTATTTATTACAACTCTGTGCCATTTTCAAACATTCTTGAATAACTTTCACCTTTCCACTAGCTTGGTGAGTAAATTTGGTCCTATCAACCCTGCTCCACCCACTTCAAATCATCTATTAGGAGATCTACATCTTATCCCATAATGAGTTTCATATAGAGCCATTTGGATGCTAGAGTGATTACTGTTGCTGTAAGAAAACTCAATGAGAGGTAGTCATCCCAATTCACTTTGAAATCAATCACACAAGCTCTAAAAATATTTTACTAATGTATAAATACTGCTCTCCGTTTTCCCTTTATTCTGAGGATGAAAGTCAGTACTTAAATTCACCTTTGAACCCAAGCCTTTCTTAAAAGATTTCAACAACTGCGCAGTAAATTATGCACCTTTATATGAAATAATGAAGACCGGAACCCCATGAACTCCTACCATATCTATAAGTTACTTCTTAGCATAATCTTTTGTCAGATGGTTCATCTTTAGCTTCAAAAAGTGAGTTGATTTTGTCAATCAATCGAAAATCGCCCAACTAGAATCATGTTGCCTGAAAGACCTTGGTAAGCATGTGATAAACTCCATGTTAAGATTTCTCCTATTTCTTTTTTGAAAGTTCTATATTCTGAGCCAAACCACGGGACTTTGGTTTTCCTACTTTAACTTGTTGGAAATTTGTAAACTTAGCAATAACATATGCAATGCCCTTCTTCATGCTACTCCACGAATACACCCCTTTCAAATCGCGATAAATCTCTGTGGAACCCGGATGAATGTAATATCTAGATCTATGAGCTTCCTCCATGATCTTATCTTCAAGTCAGTCCACCATTGATATACACAATCAACCTTGACACCTCAATACATGAACTCACCTTTGCTCAAAAGCTATTACTTTTTGCATATGATTATTAAGCTTCAATTCAACAAAATTAGAATCCTGGTCTTGTTTTTCTTGAACTTCTGACACTTATGAGAACTCAAATCCATTCGTCACCAATATTCCTCTTTCTGTAAAATCAATAAGTCAGACTCCCAAGAGTGCAAGTCTGTGCATATCTTTAGGTAACTCTCCTTTCCTTCTTTAACATGGGAAGTGCTTCCCTTAATCAACATATTTAAGGCATCACCAACCACATTAGCCTTAATTGTGTGGTAAAGAATACTCAAGTCATAATCATTGAGTAATTCTAACCACCGCCACCTTTTGAGATTCAAGCTCTCTCTCGAGAAAGAATAGTTTTTCCTAACGACATAATTTTTGGAAGTCAAGTCAGTGGACTTGCCAAATTGAGATTGGGAAAGTTATGCCATGAGAGTGACATGCATCATTATAATTATCTTATGGCACACAACACATAACACCTTCATTGAGCACATAACATGTAACACATAACTTCTTTCATATTATTCGTTCATATGCCATGAGACCTTGTTATCATGGACTTGACCTTAACACTTTCAAAAATAAGGGCTCAACATATGGGACCTCAACTAGGGAGCCTTCTTTAGCACACACAGAGTCTGCTTCATTCATTCATGTGTACCTCATTTCAGTTTATTCATGGGCCAGTGTGAACACCAGCTATACCTAGGATGTAGTTTAAGACTTTCATCGGGTTTGATGTGCAATGATTAGGAATAACCTAATCTCATTACCTAAATCTAGCTCACCTCTTGATAATCTTATCCTAACACCTTCGGTATCATTGATTTCTTTATACGATTCATTTGAGGTTGACCTCATTCATTCATTGGGAACTTTAACTTTAACCGATATAGATCATGTGAGCATCATGAAAGACAGTGTCTCCCCCACACCGAAAAGAGGTGGAATTACTAGCTAAAGTGACTCAATAACATGCTAGCGTATATGAGAATTTATCTCCGCCAGAACCCTATATTAGAAATATAGGTTTAAAGACTAGGAGATGTATGGAGACCCATACCCAGCAAGCCGGATAGACTCATCTCATGAGAGTTACGTGAACCTCCGCCCTTCCTGAAAGAAGCCATAGACGCTCATAGCTAGCCTATCAATGCTCAGTATAAAGTTCCATTACATTCAACTCATACATCATGGAAGCTAGCTTCTAGTTTGAGGACAACATAGCTCATTAGATGATTTCTCTTCTCATCATTAGTATTAAGTGTTTTGAACTCAATATTTTCATTAGAGTGTTCATAGAAACTGGTCTCTTCATTATATTAGACTCTCATTGGTGAGTACGTATTGGTAACATTTACTTAGGCTCATTTGAGATTTCTCTCATCATATACATTATCCACACATCATGATTGCCACCATATTCTTCATTATTAGTACCTTTGTTTTTCATAGTTATTGACCTCTTCTTACGTGAATGTTCATTTCTTCATTTCATAGTTCATCTCATCACGTGCCAATGCACTTGGCCATTAGTGTATCTTGCATTCGTACTTAACCCTCATAAGATTCATCATTTCATTACATATATCCTAGCTTCACTTATTTTTGAATGTATATTTGACTTATTTGTCTTTTCATACAAGCCATGGGGCTTTATTCATAGTTCGCTAAGTGATTCTTACTTTCCAAAGATTATGTATTACCAGACTTATGTATCTTGTATATATGCCAAGATCTTGATTTTTGATCTAAGTAGATGGCACTATTCTTGAATATTTTACTCACGTACGACTTATGTATCAATACGGAGGTTTTGGCACGGGAACCCAAATCTTGAATCACTTGGATATCATTTATATTTTTCATTAATTTTATTTCAGATATTTATAACATTAGAACTTTAAATTAAATATCATCATTTTCATGAAATAATTCATTTTCTATTTTAATTAGAATTCTAAATTAAATCTCAACATTCACATGAATGGATTAATTTTCTATTTTAGTTAGAATTCTAAATTAAATCTCAACATTTTTGTGAAGGGATTATTTTTTTTAATTAGAATTCTAAATTAAATCTCAACATTTACATGAAAGAAATAAATTTTTCTATTTTAATTAGAATTCTAAATTAAATCTCAATATTTAGATGAAGAATTAATTTTCTATTTTCAATTAGAACTCTAAACTAAATCTCAGTATTTACATGAAAGAATGAATTTTATACTTAATTAGAACTCTAAATTAAATCTCCAAATTTACATGAAAGAATTAATTTTCTATTTTAATTAGAATTTTAAATTAAATCTCAACATGAAAGAATTAACTTTCTATTTTAATGAAAATTCTAATTTAAATCTCAATATTTACATGAAGTGATAAATTTTCTATTTTAATTTTACTACTAATTAACCGAAGGGTTAGGGGTTCGAGCCCCCACAGCCCCTTTTGATTTTTAGAATTAAAATTGCTACAATAGGGAGGTTGTGGGTTCAATCCCCACTCTCCACATTTATTTTTTACTTCTTTATTTTCATGGTTTTTAACATGGTGAGGTCACTGGTTCAATCCTCCATGACCTCACTTGTTTTGATTCATTTTTCAACATTTTGAACCCTCTTTGATGACCGGAATTAATCACTAAAAGCTGGAATTTTTCTTTTAATTTTTCAGCATCCCTTTATCAAGTTACACCTTAGTTCTTAGGGGAATTTCGTAGTGCATTTAGAACGCTTTAGGTGCGTTTTCATGGATTCATATAGACAAGAGATTATCCCTCAAATCAGCCACATTTCAACTCATATGAACATCACATTTACATCAACATGTGTACGTGAAATATAAAGTACTATCATGCCATTTAAAATCTTAAACCCTGAACAATAGCCACGATGACACACACATACGCAAGTTGTTACATTTTCCGAAACATCAAATAAGTCACCTAATTCCGAACATACATATACATAAATAATTATCACAAAAACATGTTTCATCCCTAGTTTTCTAGCAGCAAACATAATCAACCTATAATTCAATGGGAGCTAGTGACAGGGAAATACAACGGGGAATAATCCTAGTTTTCGGAATGAATATTCTGAACCTTACGGGGTCTCTAGGGAAAGGGACCAAGAGAGAATAGAACCCATACCTTAATCAATGTTCAAACGCTGATGTTGCTGCCCGGAAACTCCTCCAAACCACTCCAAATTTACTTCCATGTACACCTCATTCGACGAACCTCTCTTAGCCTTGACGTTTTAATTACTGTCTTTTACTTAAAAATTCTTGTGAGTTCTTCAAGTGTGAATAACTCTTGATGTATTTTCAGTTCTTGAAATTATTTTTTGCAGAAACCAACGAGAGAGAGATAGATAGATATGGAGAATGTGAGAGGGAGATAGAGTGTTATTAGCATTAGGAGACTAAATTCAAGACTTAGTTAAATTGGATTTAATTTAGATTAATACAAATTTGATTTATTTTAATTAATACCTGAAAGGACCATTATGCCCTTAAAATTTTAGAGTTTTAATTAATAATTAAATCACCTTAAGTACCTATTTATTTGATTTTTTTTGGATCGTTACATTATCCCCCCTCCCTTAGGAACATCCATCCCCGAATGACACAACCATTACACATCGTAATGCCAATCCGATCATAACTTAATCGCTATGTACAATTAACCAATAGAAACAAATACGAAGAGATAAGGAACTAAAGCCTTACGAGTAGGAAGTCTAACCTCATACTAGTGCATACACACCACACACAGTCAAATACATGATAGACTAAATAAGTCTACTCGCCCGAGACTTCATCAAAAGTGCCTTCCCCTGCAACCCTAGACTTGAGTGCAAAGAATCGTTGCCTCCTTGGAGCCTCTTCACTTGGACCATTGGACTGAACTCTCTCCTTCCCTTGTTCTTGACTTCTCCTAATCAAACAATCCTTCACCATGTGAACCGGTTTTCCACAACTATAGCAAGCATTAGTGCCCCTCATACACTCTCCTCCATGTAGTTTGCCACACTTTCTGCAAGGTGGTCTCTCCTGAGATGTATCTACTTCATTGTTTCTCTTAACTCTGAACTCAGAATTCCTATCATGGCGACCCTTGGATGAACTTAACTCCCCTTGGTGGAAGAGTCCCTTCTTAAACCTGGGCTTTTCCCTGATTTCTGTACTACTCTTCCCCAAAAAATTCTCCTCAGCTTGCCTTGACTTGTTCCCTACCCTAGTGTGTTTCCTCTTTCGGCTTTCCTCAACTTGCTGGACATGGACCATAAGCCTGGAAACCATGATGTCATGCAGCATAGCTTCCCTACATTCCTCTTCGAGATCCTGTGCAATTCCTGTCAACAATCTACTCATCTCGTCTCTGCTGTTAGACACAAGAGAAGTAGCATACCTTGATAGTTTCAAAAAATTCAGGGAATACTCCCTGACCGTCATAGATCCTTGTTTATGGTCAATCAAATCCTCAACCCTGGCCTCCCTCATCTCTCTGGGGAAGAATCTTTCCAGAAATTTTGTCTTGAACAACTCTCATGTGACTTGCACTCCACCTAGGACACGACTATCTTACCACATCTTGCACCAAGTCTGTGCAACATCCTTGAGTTTGTAGGAAGCCAGCTCAGCCTTCTACATATCAATGGCCCCCATTGCCACCAGGATCTTATGAACCTCGTCTATAAACTCCTCAGGATCCTCTGAAGTCTTAGCCCCTATGAATATAGGAGGATTCATGCTCGTGAAATCTCGCAATCTGTCAGCCATGCTGCGAACCGGTGGGTTTTCCCTCTGAACATCCTGCCGGTTGACTTGGGTAGTCATAGCCTGAGCCTGCATCGTGATGTCCTGTGCCATCTAGGCTACAGATGCACTCACCTCAGCACCAGTCAACCCAACTGGGTTAACTAGCATGTCCACACCTTCAGCTGGAGCTTGGAGTTGATTCTGATTACCCCTAGTTGCTACCCTTCCCGTCCTCAGACCCTTAGTTCACCAAGTGTTCATACTCTGAAAACAACAAGGATTGATGTTAGACACATTCATAACACCAAGAATTCAGATATTAGGAAAAGCACGATAAAATCAGAAGAAGGGAAATTTTTCCTAAGCATCATGCAGTCTCTAATCAAGGATAGTGGTGCACTTCACTATCATGACTTAGAAACTACTCAATGTGGTTGATGTGAACTGATTATTCTCGAAATATAACCTAGGGATCTGATACCAACTTTGCAACGACCAAAATCTAGACCAAAGACGAGACCGGCATCGTTTATCTCTCATAGGTTGCAAACAAGCCTACTGACGTCATTCTTACTTTACATAGGTTAATTTTAGCGAAAAATTTAAAAAAATTTATTCTCTAATAATACATGCTAAATATTCTTAATATTTCATAATCGTTCATTATCAACCATCTAACCATTGAGAGATAACCAACTTAATAAAATAATTCATTAAGTATTAATTGTTTATCGGCCAATATATCACCAATACAAAGTCTGAACCAAAGCAGAAAAGAAACGATAGTAGAACATGCTCCACTAGCTCAACTCTAAAACTACGCTAGAATTTAAAATAGTAGCATCCTCGAAAGCGTGAGGACCTACCAAACTCTGGATGAATGTTGACGTCCGGATAGCTGCAACAACGAACCTATAGCTCTATAGTCCACCTGTGCCTAGACCTAAAAGTGGATGTTTGTATCGAATTAGTACACACTTATACTAAGTATGGATATGTGCGAGCCCACACCAGTGACATACATCAGAAAGAATAGCTTTTTTCCTAACAACATGATTTTTGGAAGTCTAGTGAGTGGACTTGCCAAATTGAGATTGGGAAAGTTATGTCATGAGAGTGACATGCATCATTATAATTATCGTATGGCACACAACACATAATACCTTCATATAGCACATAATATATAACACATAGCTTCTTTCATATTATTCATTCATATGGCATGAGACCTTGTTATCATGGACTTGACCTTAAGATTTTCCAAAATGAGGGCTCAACATATGGGACCTCAACTAGGGAGCCTTCTTTAGAAAACACAGAGTCTGCTTCATTCATTCATACGTACCCCATTTAAGTTCATTCATAGTCCAGTGTGAACACCAGCTATACCTAGGATGTAGTTTAAGACTTTTATCGGTTTTGTTGTGAAATGATTAGGAATAACCTAATGTCATTACCTGAATCTATCTCACCTCTTGATGATCCTACCCTAACACCTTCGGTATCATTCATTTCTTTATATGATTCATTTGAGGCTGGCCTCATTCATTCATTGGAAACTTTAACTTTAACTAACATAGATCATTTGAGCATCATGAAATCCAGTGTCTCTCCCACACCGAAAAGAGCTGGAATCATCGGCTAAAATGACTCAATAACATGCTAGCGTATATGGGAAATTAACCCCGCCAGAACCCTATATTGGCAGTATAGGTTCAAATACTAGGAGATGTATCGAGACCCATACCCGAAAAGCCGGACAGTCTCATTTCATGGGAGTTACGTGAACCTCCGCCCTTCCCGAAAGAAGGCATCACTGCTTATAGCTAGCCTATCGGTGCTCAGGATAAAGTTCCATTACATTCAACTCATACATTATGGAAGCTAGCTTCTAGTATGAGGACAACATAACTCATTAGATAATTTCTCATCTCATCATTAGTATTAAGTGTTTTAAACTCAATATTTTTATTAGAGTGTTCATAGAGACTAGTCTCTTCATTATCTTAGATTCTCATTGGTGAGTACGTATTGGTAATATTTACTTAGGCTCATTTGAGATTGCTCTCATCATATACATTATCCTCACATCATGAATGTCACCACATTCTTCATTATTACCACCTTTGATTTTCATAGTTACTCACCTCTTCTTACGTGAATGTTCATTTCTTCATTTCATAGTACATCTCATCATATGCCAATGCACCTGGCCATTTAGTGTATCTTACATTCGTACTTAACCCTCATAAGATTCATCATTGCATTACTACATCTCATCAAGATCTTGATTTTTGATCTAAGTAGATGGCATTATTCTTGAATATTTTACTCACGTATGACTTATGTATCAATACGGAGGTTTGGGCACGGGAACTCAAATCTTGAATCACTTGGATATCATTTATATTTTCATTGATTTTATTTCTAATATTTATAACATTAGAACTCTAAATTAGATCTCAACTTTTTTATGAAATAATTAATTTTCTATTTTAATTAGAATTCTAAATTAAATCGCAACATTTACATGAAGGGATTAATTTTTTATTTTAATTAGAATTCTATATTAAATCTCAACATTTACGTGAAGGGATTAATTTTCTATTTTAATTAGAATTCTAAATTAAATCTTAACATTTACATGAAAGAAATAAATTTTTCTATTTTAATTAGAATTCTAAATTAAATCTCAATATTTACATGAAAGAATTAATTTTCTATTTTTTATTAGAATTCAAAATTAAATCTCAATATTTACATGAAATAATTAATTTTCTATTTTAATTAGAATTCTATATTGAATCTCCATATTTACATGAAAGAATTAATTTTCTATTTTAATTAGAATTCTAAATTAAATCTTAACATGAAAGAATTAATTTTCTATTTTAATAAAAATTCTAATTTAAATCTCAATATTTACATGAAGGGATAAATTTTCTATATTAATTTTACTTTTAATAAACCGAAATGTTGGGGGTTCGAGCTTCCACAACCCCTTTGATTTTGAGAATTAAAATTGCTACAATAGGGAGATTGTGGGTTCAATCCCCACTCTCCACATTTATTTTTACTTCTCTATTTTCATGGTTTTTAACATGGTGAGGTCACGGGTTCAATCCTCCATGACCTCACTTGTTTTGATTCATTTTTTTCGACATTTTGAACCCTCTTTGTGACCGAAATTCATCACTAGAAGCTGGAAATTTCCTTTTAATTTTTTAGCATCCTTTTATCAAGTTACACCTTAGTTCTTAGGGGAATTTCGTAGTGCATTTAGAACGTTTTAGGTGTGTTTTCACGGATTTGTTTAGACAAGAGAAAATCCCTCAAATCAGCCACATTTCAACTCATATGAACATCACATTTACATCAACATGTGTACATGAAAAATAAAGAACTATTATGCCATTTCAAATCCTAAACCCTGAATAATAGCCATGGCGGCACACGCATACACACGTTGTGACATTTTCGGGAACATCAACATGAGTCACATAATTCTAAACATACATATAAACAAGTAAACATAACGAAAACATTTTTCATCCCTAGCTTTCTACCAGCAAACATAACCAACCTATGATTCAATAGGAGCTAGTGACAGGGACATGCAACGGGGAACAATCCTAGTTTTCGGAATGAATATTCTGAACCATAAGGGGTCTCTTGCAAAAGGGACCAAGAGAGAATAGAACCCATACCTTAATAGATGTTCAAACGCTGATGTTGCTGCCCGAAAACTCCTCCAAACCACTCTCAACATACTTCAACGTACACCTCACTCGACGAACCTCTCTTAGACTTGACGTTTTGATTACTTTGTCTTTTACTTAAAAATGTGAGTTCTTCAAGTGTGAATAACTCTTGATGTATTTTCAGTTCTTGAAATTATTTTTGGCAGAAACCAACGAGAGAGAGAGAGATGGAGAACGTGAGACGGAGATAGAGTGTTATTAGGATTAAGAGACTTAATACAAATCTGATTTATTTTAATTAATACGTGAAAGGACCATTATGCCCTTAAAATTTCAGATTTTTAATTAACAATTAAATCACCGTAAGTACCTATTTATTCAATTTATTTTATGAATTGTTATAGTGCCTACTCAAAATAAATATATGTTTTAAGAATATCCTATATTGAAAGCAGAGTAGTATATTAAAACAAAATTGGGAACTACTTTAATGAAAAAAATGTAACTCGTGTAACTTTAAACTTTGAAAAAAAATTAAAATTGGAAGATTAATGGAGAAAGCGTAGCTCGTGTATTTTTAAAATTGGAATCAAAATATATTTTGTAGATTGTAATCTCAAAGAAAAAAACATAATAAGAAACTCATTTATATATTTAACTTAGCCACGAAATAAAAAAACCAATATCATCACCTATGTAGTGCACAAATTTCTTGACAAAGCTTCTCAAACTTATTATTTCAAGCCATATTAATTCACCAAACACTATTGTAATAGCACATATTCAGATTATGCACCGACATAAGACTCAACATAAGGTCATATTATCTAAAGCAAAACTCTTTGTAACTTTCAAAAAGTTATGGACAAATGTTGTCAAGGAAACACACGACCTTTCTATTTATAAAGGATCACATGTTCCTATTGTTGCTTAATCCCATGGTGGTGTACCATATGTTTTCAATTCCTCGAGGAGCTCTGACACCATAAATAAGTTCCTCAATGATGTGAAGGCTTCTGCGGTCAAATGGGGTCATTGATT